AATATCCAGCCAAACTAACCTCAAACTCAGCTCTTCACATCCAGTCTCAATGCCTTTGAATGGACCATCCCCCACACCTGGGGGCTACTTAGTTTTCACCTCTGCATCACAGAATCTCTCTTCCTTCAATACTCTGCTCAAGCACTGCGTCCTATAGGGTGTCTTTCCTGATCCCCCTAAAAATTAGTGCCCACCCACCTTAACCAAACTGTACTTACTGTGCATTTATTGTTTATGCTTGAATATGGACAAGTCTCTAGCACAGAATTCAATAAGCTCCTTGACAGTATAGATTGCTTCATTTTTTATATCCACAATGCCTTATTCATAGTAGGAGCTTAATAAATGCTTGCCTGTGAGGGACAGCTAGGTGGTGCAGTGGATAGAGCACCAGCCCTGGAGTCAGGAGGACCTGAGTTCAAATCCAGCCTCAGACACATGATACTCCATAACTGTGTGACCATGGGCAAGTCACCTAACCCCCATTGCCTCTCAAAAAAAAAAAATGCTTACAGATTACTGCCTGATTCAATTAAAAGACCTTTTCATTTGCCTTCCAAAGCTTAAGTTATACCCAAACAATGATTAAAAAAAAAAAAATACACGGTACATTTTTCCCTCCTCTGAACTCTTATACCAATTATCTACACACTTAATTTGACAATTTACTATGTACTACTTCTAATGTTCCTTTGAATACAAATATACAGATCGAAAAGCTGTGACTTCCTCCGTAAAAGAACTACTTGTATGGAAGCTCCCTTAGAAGATAATCCCAAAGGGTAAGGTACATTACTAGGCTCATATAGCTAGCAGGTTTTCCTGACTCCAAAGTGCTCCATCCACTATGATATGCTGCTGCTAATGTTGCCTTAAACTACTATTTAAATCTTTTAATTATTCAGATTTTCATGCAGTGAATGTGAGTCAAAGGACCCAGGCTGGAATTCCAGTTGAATTTACCAGCTATATGACCATGGTTTAGGGGCCCTTTACTTTCTTGGCTTCAGATTCCTGCTCTTTAAAAGAGAGTTGAACTAAATAATCAGGAAGGTCCCTTTCAACTCTAAGTCCTAAAATGTCTTCACACAATTTAACTTATTGACTCCTTGAAGACAGGGCTAAGGTCTGACTGCAGGGACTCAGACCCTAGGTTGCAGGAGCCAAGCCCTCCGCGTGCAGATTACCTTCTAGGTGGGCACCATCTCTCTCCCCCCCTACACACACACATCTTGGAAGAAGGCAGAGGGAACTGGAATTGATTTTGAGTTCTGTCAGGTAGGCCCCTGGAGATCCAATCACCTACCCATGATACTCAACTGTATCTCCTTTCTTCTCTAGGCTTTGAGGGACAACAGACCAACTTTACCTTAGCCATCACAGGCCTCTTGAAGGTAGTGGTCTCAATCAAATGTTTCTTTCCTATTTTATAGCAGTCGAAATTTCTCCTCTCCTAATCCTCTGAAATTCAAAGTCCCCCATGTCCCCATTCCCCAATTCCCATTCACCTGAGCCCTACCACTCCCAAATCTCTATCCTGCTCTGGCTTCCTCTTCTGTTACGCCCTCTGGAACCTCCACTCTACTGTTAATCTTCCCTTAAGTAGAGCCAATATTTACTCTTCCCTGATTGACATTCTCTATCATTCTCCATCATTCTCCATAGTGACTCTTCATAACTTGTGTTCTCAAGACTCCTAGATCACCCTCTTTCATCCCAACAGGGGATCTTACCTTCTACTTAACAACAAAAATTGAGGCTATCCATCATTTGCTCCCTCTTTTCCCCTATCCTACACTTCAAAAACCCTCTTCTTTCCCCACTACTTCCTCCTTTGCATCAGTCTTTTCCAATCTACCCCCACCCCTTTACTTGGGCCCTTGCTGCCATTCCTCTAGCAATTTGCCCCCTCAGATGTTTCTCACTTCAAATCTCTCCTTATCTACTAGTTCCTTCCCTGCCTTCTAAAAAGACCCCTGGTTCTCCCCAAACCTTGGGGAAAAAAAAAGACCTTGCCATCTCCTCAAGCTAAGTCCTACAACTTTCATTTCTTCCACAGACAAACCCCTAGAAAGAAAGATCCATATATACGAAGTGCCTCCATTTCTTAATCTCCCACTCACTACTCAATAATAGCTCATTCTCAACTCCTTACTTTCTCTCCAATACTGGGGCCCACTTTTCTCATGCCCTCTAACACAACAGGTCAGGAAAAAGAATGGTCTACTCCTTACTGCCAATATCCTTCATCAAGGTCTCATCTTTTCAGGTTCAATCCATTCTTCCATTTCTTCATTGTCTCTGCAGTTAAGATTCTCCAGGCATAATGACTGTAATTACTTGTACTTAACACTATCAAAGACGGTGAAAAAATAGTAAGAATAGTAGATCATAGATTAATAGATAGAAGAGACCTTATAAATCATCTAGTCCAACCCCCCCCATTTTACAGATGAGAATACTGACACTCACACAGGTAAAGTGAATCACTCATGTTCACAGAGTTACTAAGTTCTCAGAGGCAATGTTGAACCTCAGAAACCTTTGTGGGTCTTCTTGACTCTAAGGTCAGTACCTACGCGCTACCTTTCACTACCTCAAAAGTAGTCTCAAAAGAGACTGTGCCCAGGACTGCTTAGTAGCATTCTAACATCTACTACCCTCTCACTGCAAAGAGGCTCACACACTCCAGATCTCTCTACCTAGACGTTTGCTGTATCATCTTACCAGCTGCTGGTTCACTTCTATGTCAAGAAGTTCAATACCTTGTTCACACCCTCCCCATGCCCTTGTATATGGGGACTTCAACATATTCACTCAATTACCCTGGCCTCCAGTTCATTAACCCCCTCAACTCTCTTGACCTACAATCACACTCCACCCCAGGGTTTGTGATACTCTGAATCTCACAATCATCAGTAACTGTCTACCTCTATGATTTACAACTCTGAAAGTTCTGAGCACAACCTCCTATCCTTCCATTTCTCCCTCTCTCATTCCTCTAAAACCTCTTCTGTGACCTCAGTGCAGAGGTATTCTACCTCTCCCTGATCTCTTGGTTCTGAATTCATTCTCCATTACATGACACTGCTTTTAAATCTATTTAACTCCCCTAGAATAGTCCAGTGTCCCACCACCAGTCATCAAGTTAGGAATTCAACAAATAATAAACATCTTCTAGACACTAGACACTTGATATAAAGATTAAATGACATGGCCTTAGGGACAGCTAGGTGGTGCCGTGGATAAAGCTCCAGCCTTGGAGTCAGGAGGACCTAAGTTCAAATCCAGCCGCAGACACTTGACACTTACTAGCTGTGTGACCCTGGGGAAGTTACTTAATACCAACTGCCTCCAAATAAAAAAAAAAAAAAAAAGATATGACCTCTGCCCTCTAGAGTTTACAATCTAGCACAGGGATAAGACAAGTAACTATATATAAAAATACCTATAATACAAGTTAGGAAATGTTAAAGTATATTATAAATAGTTACATATTTCATATAGTATATGAAGAGTCAAAGTATGTATCCACCTTTCAAACAGAATGACATGTCTGTGAAGGGGGAGAAGTTCATCCCAGGAGATAGGACTACTGTGAATAAACAAGTTAGACAGGAGCAGAATAAGTACATCATTCATATCTCACCTCCTCTCAGTTCTCCCTCTTCATCTCTATCTTCTAAAAGACTTTCAGGGAAAATTTTGCTAAGACTGTTCCAACCTTGTTAAAAAAAAAATGACAGTCTAATAGCATGATATGGCATACAAAACAATATCAAGAATAATCAAGAACAATGGTAGGAAAAGACAGGCCTTGTATGGCAGAGTGAACAGGTTCCTCCGTTACTTAACTTTTTCATGGTATGTTACGTGCATGTACAGGTGCACATATAGTTTAGATCCATAGGCTCATAGACCCCTAAAGCTAGAAGGAGCGACTTGCTTCTTAAACTGTGGGGTCACATTAAGAAGCGCTGAGGGGTCATGAGTGGAAAAAGTTTAAGAGGCTCTCTAGTCCAACCCCCTCATTTTACAGATGAGGAAATGGATCCTCAAAGCAGGGAAGTAACTTGTCAGTTCAGGCATTTTTCAGTTGTGACCCTAACTGGGTTTTTTTTGGCAAAGCCATTGGAGTGGTTTGCCATTTCCTTCTCCAGAAGTAATTGGTGGCAGAGTACAAATTCAAGAACCAGGGTTTCCCGATTCCTGGTCTTTGAAACATACCAATCCGTATACACGTCTCATCCTCTTGCTAGTTTTCGATCTCTTTTTTGGCAAAGACTCAGTTGTAGTATCTTTCTATATCCAACACCAAACTCAAAGTCGGACTTTGAGGAAAGACCCTAAGTTTTCACTTCTTTCATTCTGGGCTCCTGGTGCAAAAGGACTTTAGTCCAACTTTATTTGACAGACAGGAACTAGGAAGGCCAAAGAGAAGAAAGCCACATGAGTAAAGCAAAGAAGGGATGCAAAACCCTATCTTCTGACTTGAAATCCAACGCTGTTCCCATCACGTCATTTTGCCTAACCTCCTCGGATTATCTTCAATGTAATTCAGATTCCTGTCACTCTTTAAGGCTGACAAGAGCACAGAGTAGAGAAACCCACTCTCCCTTCCCCATGGAGAGGAGGAATGACCCCCAGAAAACTGAAAGGCAACTTCCATCTCATCTCGTTTCATCTTCCCCTCCCCACGCCTCAGTTTCCCCTTTGGGGATAGGAAGGGAAGAGAATATCTTCGCTGCCACGCTCGCTCGCCCTTCACCGCCTTTTTCCGATGGAGGCAGAGGAGGCCAAGTCGAGGGGCCTCCGATGCTAGGCAAAGGGGGCTTCTGGGCTGACACCCAGCCTCGCCAGAGATCCACGCGCATGCGCCCATCGAGAGTCCTGCAGGCCAGCTCTGCCCCCGCGCGCCCTGGGCAGTTACCCGGCTCCGTCCACACTCCTCCCGCCGCGGCAGCCTCCCGCCACCCATCCCGCCTTTCTTCTCCTCTCACCTTGCGCCCAGTCTTTTCTCTAAGCGCCTTGAGCCGCTCTTTCCGCCGCAGCGCCTCCTCCTCCAGACGTCCAACAGCAGGGACCGGCGCAGCCATCTTGTTTCTCAATTAGCTTCCGGTCGGGTACAGCGCATGACCCCGAAGAGTAACAGCGGAAGAGAGAAAGCAATGGGCTGAGAAGCGAGGGGGCGGGGCCTTTTGACCAATAGTGGTAGCGTAGAAGCCTGAGGGGCGGGATCGGGTGACGACTCAAGGCAGCCCTGGGGAAAACAGTTGCTTTAAGTCCCCATTAAACCATCGCCTATCCCCGGAAGCGCATTTCTAATCAGGTCTAATCAAAGGAGCTCAGAGCGCGTCGATAGCGCCCTCTTGATCTAGGTCCATAGAGTTCATCTATTGCATTTTTTGAAAGGTGATTTGATTTATGCATGACTTTTAGCGATAGATTAACTCTTCAAGTAATAGTAGCTTGCATTGATATGGCATTTTAAGCTTTGCAAAACACTTTACATACTTTTTATTTGATCCTCACAACAGCCTGCCTGAAGTAAAATGAAATTATTTTTCCCATTGTACAGATGAGGAAATTAAGGTTCACAGATATTAAAGATGACTTTTCCAGTCTAGTAAGCATCTGAGGTGAAATTTTAGCCCAGCACTCTATCCGCTATACCACCATGCCTTCGAGACAAATGGTATTAGGCCCTTAGGGCGAGAGCCTGAAGCTAATAATAACTTCATCTATAAAAAGGAAAGGCTGTGTCAGATCTATGGAGAGCAGAAGAATTCATGACCAAACAGGAGCTAGAGAACATTACGAAAAGCAAAATAGATAATTT